AAATAGTAGGAATATTAGAATCTTATTTTACTTTAAAGCGTTTGTCATTTTCCCTAGATCAGCTAATGTGGTAAATAGAAGAAAAAGCGAATCTTTTTCAGAATGATGGAGAACAAGGAAGAATCATAATGGAGACATGAATAAACAAACCTTGGCGGGATGTAGCAATTGGTTGCCTGGAAAAGTGTACCAAGCTATAGCGATCATCAAGAGATGACAAAATTGGAAGAGACAAAATGTATGAAGAAAATTTCAGATCTCTGAGAGTGGGTAAAATCTTCTGTAAAATATAGAAGTAAGGTAAAGGTCATACAGCAGTTACATAGAAAATAAACAAAAGCTGTATGCTTTATATATATCTCATAATTTTCATAGGTCAGAAAAGCAATTAAGGTTGAACCAGGTGCTTAAACCTGCATCTTTCATAAGGTGGGATGTTCACCCCATCCCAAGTGTGAAATAGGCACAGCTCCACTTGTGAACCCACTCGTGTTAATTGGCAGGATTCATTTCCTGAGTACCGTTGGATTGAGTGCATCAGCTGCTCAAGGTCTGGTGGTCAGAAGCAGCTCCCAGTGACTTTCTGCAGAGCAGAGCTCCTAGTATGGACTGCTTTCTATCAGCAGGAGCAAGGCAGAGAGCAAAAGAAAGAAAACAAGACAGAACCGGGGTCTTTCCTAGTCCAGTGTTCAAAATCCTATCCCATCACTTTGGCTACAATCTGCTCTCCAGAAATAAGTTAACAGATGTACTTCAAAGTGTAGCATAGTGATTACCTTACAACTACCAGGATCTGTGAGTCACTGTAAGCCATTTTAGATAACTGTGCCTACGGCAGCTATCACCACACTTTGTTTCAGATTTTTAAAAATTAAACACACTAAAAGTTTCAGTTCTCTCTCTGCCTATCTTTGTATTTCCCTGATCTTATCCTTCTTTGTCCTCGGAGACAAGCACTATGGCCAACTTCCAGTATCAAGTTTATGTTAAAAATTGTACTTGATATATGCACACATAGATTGTTTTACATAAATGACATAGTATACGTAATGTTTAATAATTACCTTTCTGCTCATCATTGTAAGTTAAAGCACATCCATTTAGTTTCATAAAGATATACTCCGTTCTTTGTAACAATGGCAATTTTCATTTGAGGGAAAAAATTACAACGGATGTATTTAATTCTCCTCTGTTAGAACCTGTAATTTTTCAATTTTGACTATTAATCTTATATTGCAATGAACGTGCATTTCATTGTCTTGTATATGTATGGCAGAGTTTCACCAGAGTATGTATCCAGCAGTGACACTGTTTCCCCAAATTGCTCTGCCAGTGGCTTTTTATATTTCTCACAGAGGTCAGTGTTCCATCTGTGGTACTTCTCGGCTTAACTGGAACAGGAGTGGGAACACCTTGTATCAGGGTCCATTAGTTTTCTCATTTTTCACAAGAGCATGTCAACCTCTGGTTTATTCTCCATAGAGGCTATGGGGAATTACCTGACAAAAGCTATATGTCAGACTCTTGTCAGGGAGAAAGAATTCAAAGTCACAACCAGCCAAGATCTATCAAATGCTCTGCTGAGAAAACAATAGTTAGGGAAAATTACTTAGAAAATACTCAAACTATCCATTCCTGCAGATATTCTAAAATATGTTTAAACCAGATCAACAGAAGACTTAAATTACATCAAATTGATTCCAGTGCTAGGGCCTTGCAACTCAAAAGTATAATCCTCAGAGCAGCTGCAGCAGCAGCACCTACAGCTTTTTACAAACTAGATGATCTGGCACAAATTCTGCCTTAACAAGGGATCTATATTACAACAAGATTCCCAAATGATTCTTGAGTATATTTATGATCAAAAAATTGAGATTAATGGAATTATATCTTCTTTTGCTTTTGCTACTTGAGTTTCATCTGCCTATATTGAAAAAGATGAAAATTATTATTTATACAGTAAGAATAATGTTCAGATCACTGGCTAGTACATCAAATAATAAGCTTCTTCACGAGGACCCTTCAGAAAAACCTGCTAGTTTCAAACAGTTGTGCTTCTATTGAATAATGTTTCTATTTCAAAATTGTAATATTAGTAGAGTGAGGCAGAAGGATTGCAGGTTTGGGCACATTTGCAAGACCTTTCAAAATAAAAAATGAAAAAGCACTGGGGATATAGCTCAGTGCAAAGGGCCTGGCTAAATCCCCAGTACTCCCCCCCAAAAGTTTGAATATTAAGTAATATGTAGTGACTGTACTGCTTTATTGCTTGGCTACTAATTACTAAACATGGAATCAACTTAACATCTGATGTAATTATACAGGGCTAGTATAAAAGTAGGTATTAATAACAGACACTTTGAATCAATCAGTCTTATGCCTTGCTCTATCTTATGCCCAAATGTTTGTCGTTTTCATAATTTCCATGTGTTTTAATTCCTATCATCTAACTGTACTGCACATACCTTTGTGAGGCCCTTAACTTCCATTTGGAAGAAGGGAATGAAGGAGGGAAAAAGTTGGTAGCAAAATATACCAAAAATAAGCAGCTCACAAGTTTGAACATTCATTGTATTGCACCTTTATATCATCCTGTAAGTAACAATTCTGAAAGGACACAAATCTCAACATATGTAAGCCTATTTAAAGTTAGTACAATGGAAATTTTAAAATATTTATATGAATTATATGGATTTTTAAAAATAAAACATATTTGTAGGGTTGCAAAACCATGTGTGCATAAAATTTAATTGCCAGCATTAAAAGATGATATTCCACAAGGGCAACAATTTCTATAATCAGGAGGACTGATTTATCTGTGCCTAGCACTACAGCTGAACTGTATTTGAATCTTTGACAATAGTATTTTTCCAAATATTTAGATCTTGGAGCTGGGGATTTAGCTCAGTGGCAAAAAGCGCCTGCCTGGCAAGCGCAAGGTCGTGAGTTCGGTTCCCGGTACCGGAGAAAAACCAAAAAAAACAAAAACAACAACAAAAACAAATATTTAGATCTTACAAAATGTATGCTGAATGTTTAGTCCTTCATCAGTCATGACTGAAATGTAGCCCAAAGTGCCCTGGTCTTAAAATCAGGAGATGTTGAAATGAAAATCATTTGTGCTATTTATTATCAGTGTGACCTGGTAACATATGCTTATCTAACCCTGAGTTTCCTGTCACGTACAGGACAGTAAAAATATTGACCTCACTTATTTGTTGAAGAAATCCCAATGACACCAGCTATGCACACAAGGCGGGCGCAGAGTCGGGCAATGATTAGGTGCTTGTGTATCACCCTGAGAGTCAATGAACTTGATGCTATTATGTCCAATCAGGACAATGTTAGAACATCCAGAAAACATTTTGAAACAATAATGTTAATAGCAGAATAGTACTTCTAAATTTAACAGGTATTTTATTTTCTGCTCAAAAATAATGCTAATTAGTATGAACATACATCTTTGTGTGTCCTACTTATGACTTTCCAATAAATACTGGAAAGAATATTTATGTAGAGATAAAACCACTGCATTGAACAATATGACATTTGACATCTATTAATATTCAATGCCAAATTGTCATTCAAAAATATGTATTTTTATTTTACACCACGTACTTACCTTAATCCTAAATTGGCATTGCTAATGAGCATAATTAATTGTTTTTTTTTTTTCTTTTTGGTTTTTCTCCGGTACCGGGAACCGAACTCATGACCTTGCGCTTGCCAGGCAGGCGCTTTTGCCACTGAGCTAAATCCCCAGCCCCCTAATGAGCATAATTAAACAAGTAAACTACTTTGAGATACTAAGAACAGAAAGCAAATTTATGACCAAGACATCCTTAACATTCCGCTCAACTTTAATTTTCTTCCTGAGTAGTCTTAGACCTGCTTTTTTCTCACAACATTTTAAATATTTGCAATTATGAACTCATTCTCTGTCCCTTTCATATTTAAATAATCTCCCAGTCTCTTGCCATATTTATGAAGCAACAAAATTTGTCTCAAGGAGTTCAGAGTTACCCATTTGAAATGCAGTCATTAAAAAGCACAGGATGAAAATCAGTATGGAGATTCTTCAAAAAGTTAGGATTAGAGGTCCCATTGGACCCAGCTATTCCCCCTCTGGGTATCTTCCCAGGAAAACTAAAAACATAATACCACAGTGATATATGTGCACCCATGTTTACAGCAGCAGAATTTGTAATGGCTAAATAATGGAAACAACCCAAATGCCCATCAACCAAGGAATGCATAAAAGAGATGTGGTAGTTTTATACAAAAGAGTACTACTCAACCATAAAAAGGAGACTTTTATAAACTTGAGACTTTTATAGGAAAATGAATGTAACTTGAGGCAGTGCTCACAAGTGAAATAAGTCAGACTCACATGTGTAAACATCATATTGTCTCCTTGGTGCGAGAAACTGAAAGAGTGAATACGGTATAAAACATAGAATAGAAATTGTGAGAAGGGAAGAAACTGTTGAAAGGGAACCAGTGTGGGGGAGAGGGGAAAGGAAGGAAGGAAAAAGGAGAAAAGCCGGTCAGCTGTGCTACTCGTGTCTCTTAGTTCATTGGAAGGGAAGGTTTGTGCTGATATTTATTGGAGAAATTCAATGCCCATATCTTGTACTCTGAACAACTATTTTCAGGATAACAATATGCAATTAATTAACTAACTGTTATTATTCTCCTATTGCCTTGTTGTGAAATTTTATTTTACCCTTTTTCCATAAAATATAATACAAAATAAATTTTAAAAAGAAACATAGGATCCCATCATCCTGCCTTTGTGAGAGGCGAGGACCCTAACTTTCCTGTGTACCAATAAACACAGATGGGCTGATCACACTGATCCCCCTCCTCTGAACTCCAACGTCCCTGACCTACCTTACCTCTAAAATTTTACGTTGGCTTCTATTTTAGCACAGCTGAGCTCTTGTTCAAGTCTTTCTTGCCTGTTTAGCTCATCTTTACCGTTCTTCTCTCACACTTACCATCTTGTTTGAAGGCATCTGAGGGGTGGTAGAGGCTGACGGGGGAATAGTAATGCTGAGCCGCCCCGTGCCAACTTGGTGAAGAAACACTCAGTGTCCCTGAGGAAGGACTGCTGTACCGAGGTCTGGTCTTTGACCCAAAGAGGGATGAGGATGAACTTTTCTTGATTCTTAGCAAAGCAGCATATGAAGTTGGGAGACCAGGAAGGGCTTTGGAATACTCTGTAAAATCAAACAATAATATAAAATTAATTGTTAGAAAATTGGTTTATTTTTTCCAGTAAAAAATCGTTTATCCTAAAGACGTTGAAAATTATCCTTCAGGCTGCAAATGAATTCAACCTCTGGCAAGAGTAGAAAAATTTAAATGTTACTTATACAGTCTTAAATATGTTTTGAACATTCTACTGGTTGTAATTGCCTTCCATAAGAAAAAGAGAATGAAAATACACATTATGGAGGAAAGAGGGAAGAAAAGAAAAAGAAGAGAGGAAAAGAACAGAAGAAAAGAAGGAATTAATGAAGCAAGACCATCAAAGTTCTCACACCTTTCTTCAGCAGGAGTACTTAGGAATCAACCTTTTGAAAATGCCTTAATATTACAATATATGCCTTGGTTACTTTTTTCTCATTGATGAGGCAAAATATCTGCCTCCTAATTTAAGGCAGGAAAACTTCATTTAGCTCACAGTTTGTGGAGGTTTCAGTATGTAATGAGCTGGCTCTAAGGCATGGTGGCATGGCACAGGGCTACCGTTCAAGGTGGCAGAAGGTGGCGGAAGACAGCAATAACAGCAGAAGGGGGAGGACAAGCCTCTTTTCCTCCCTTATACTGTAAGCAGGGTACCCACACTGTCTCCCTGCCCTCCTCTTGCACAGGATCAGGATGTTTACAAAGTGTGGACCCCTGGCCCCTGCTGAGTCACTTAGTGAAACTTCTAAACTTCTGAAGTTGACACAACGTGTCAACCATTACAATATGCATTACCTTTTCCTTTTTATTTTCATTGGTCCATGTTTACAGTAGATGATTATTACATTCATTGTAGGAGTTGATGTTGTCCGTAACGTAACTTAATCCTTCTTATTTCTCCTTCTCCTTTCCCTCCCCCTTCCTCACCTTCCTCCATCTCTATATCACCTCTCCCTCTGCAAAATATCCATCTTTCTCTTTCTCTTCTCTTTGATTTTGCTCATGAAATTCCTGATACTTTAGATTTCTCATATAACAGAACCCATGAGATATTTGAACTTGTGTGTCTTATTTATTTCACTTGATATGATGGCCTCATTGTGCATCATTTCCAACAACTAACTCGAACATATCCTTCTTAATGGCAAAACAGCCCTCCATTGTGTATGAATGCATTTTCTTTATCCATTCTCCAGTTGACGGACATAAAAGCTGCTTTCAATAATTACTATGAGTTGTGCTGCTAAAATCATGGTTATATCTGAATCACTGTAAAATGATGTGTTTAACCCTTTGGGGAAGATAGGTGGGAGGGGAACACCTGGGTCAAATGGAAATCCTACTTTAGTTTTCAGAGGAATCACCACGCCAATTTCAATTGCTGGTTATTAGTTTACTTTCCAACCAAAAATATAGAAGTGTCCCTTTTCCCCACAGCCCCTCCACAATTTGTTATTTGATTTCTTGATGATCCACGTCTTCACTGTAGACCTCTTTCATTTCCTTGGTTAGCTTCATTCCTGAGTATTTAATTTTTCTTGATGTATGATGAATTGTATTGACTGCCTAATTTCCTTCTTGATGGGTTCAATACTGGTGCACATGAACACTATCTATTTCTTATTTTCTATCTTGCTATTTTGTTTATTGGTTCTCAGAGTCTTTTGGTAAAGCATTTTGTGTCTCCTATATAAACAATCATGTTATCCTAAAAGATAGTTTTGCCTGATTCATTTCCCATTTGTCTCTTGCCCGAGTGGTCTGGCTGAAGATTTGAGTCCTCTTCAGAACAGGAGTGCTAAGACTGGACTCCCGGGAGGCTGAGGAAGGAGTGCAAGTCTGAGCCTTGCTTGGACATTTTACTGAAACTGTCTCAAAATAAAAGGTAAAAATTAAACAACTGGAGATGTAGTTCAGTGAAGGCCCCGGATTCAATTCTAATGCTGGAAAGATAAGCAATTATGAGTAGGATATTTTCTATGCCTGCATCAATTTAACTGGACTATTTATTGACCTTGGAAATTTTTTTAAGAACTAAAGTTTTCTTGAGAGTGACATTTGAACTGAAGAGCTGCTAATATTTTGAGATAAAAATTTGTCAATCAGCTTTCTCAAAAGTAAAATTGCTTAGAATCTTTATACTGTTTCAAATGTGTTTTAGAATGCAAGAAGCGCTTCTGTGATTTGAAATAATATGCTAAGTGTTAGGCATCACATGAAGTTTAATATTTTGTACACTGTGAAGCTGTAAGTATGATTTCTCTGAAATTCAAAAAATATATTTTTAGGTGTTTTCCACACTTAAATTCAGCATGATATGCGCACTCCAAGCCTATCAGGAGTTGTTAAGAGAATCATGTCCTTTAGTCTTTGCTGTTCAACATCAAGTCTAGTGAAGGTGGATCAATTTTGTCTGAGAACAGCTAACCTCTCCCGGGCAAACTCTATGAGAACAGATTATGGTACACATAAAATCTCTTTACAGCCTGGAATTAAATGCAGGTTTGGGCACCAAGAGGTATAAGGTAATGGAAAGAGAATGAGTTTTCGTGTAAGGTACATTGCAGTTGTAGTTTCTAAACTATTCATTTCTCAGAGCAGTCTGCCACTTAGTTTTTTAACTGCCTGCCCTGCTCATTTATTTACAAAAAGAACTATCTCAGGCTTCTGTTAAAAATTAACTTAAGACAATGTGGTTTATAGTTCTGAAAGCTAGATAAAGACAGTCTATAGAAAAATAAAACAACCACAAGGTTTTAAAAAGCCAGGATGACCATGGTGTTTGTAAAATACATATATGTATGTGTTTATGTGTACACACACATATGTACATATGTACATACATGTATACATACACACACAGACATGCCTTTCACACTGCCCAGAAGATACAGAAATTGGCTTGTGCTGCTTGTACAGAGATGAGCCGAATGGTAATTTGGCTGTGTGCTCCGCACCAAGGCTCATTTGTTATGTGATCAGTTGCATCTGGTGCAGTAGAGGTTCCCTTTCCATCAGTTAATGTGAACCCAAAGCTGTTACTACAAATCCGGCAAAGCATTCATTTATTCATGCACTCAGCAAACACATCCTGTGAACTTGGTAAGTGCCAAGTGCCAGGGACACAAAGGTGCATGGAATACTTCCCCAGGCTTCAGTGAGATTCAGGAGCCTATGGGCGCCCTGCCATGGGCGAGAAACTGTCTCATTCAGCTTGCCACCATCTGAAAATGCATTCCAGAGGAAATTCTATCTTAGCTCAGTCCTGAGCACCCATTAGCAATTAACTCAGGAAAGCCAGTGGCTGGAAGGGGAGATTTTCTAGCCCAAAGAGTGGATGAGTTGTAAACACCCATGTACTCAGTGGATTTAGAAAGTCAAGGGTGCAGAGTGCAACACAGAGAATGTGAAGGGGATTTAAGGACAGGCAAGGGCCGATGACGGCATTCTTCTGAAAACGTGTTCATGGACTACTGACTCGAAGTGGAGAGCAGTGTAAGAGACATCATCCTGGTTGCAGTGGGATTCTAGACTAGGACAAAAAGAGGACTGTGTGAGCACCTAAAGCTACAACGCCGGCAAAGGTCATTTAGGAACAGGGAGGTCTTCATATAGTATCGAGATAACATCAGCAAGATTACCGTCCAATTAGCCAGGGAGCAAGGAAAGAAACGAGGGATGTCCCTGCTACTGAGAGAAGCACGAGGGCAGGAGAAGGCACGTGCTTTAGGTAAAACCTCACGGATTCCACTTCGGACAGTTGAGGACCCTGAGTGCTCAATGACAATGTTCTGAAAATGTAAGGGACATAAGACTGAGATATTAAAAGATAATCAAATATATGGTTATTAAACCTATGTGAACAGGTAAGTTCGCCAAGGAAGTATATAAAACAAGCAGAACACTGAGTGTGGAGCTTGGGGTGCGTCAGCATTTAGGAGAAAGGGCAGAAATAGACGAACCTGGGAAGAAGAGAAGAAAACAGGAAAACAGGGTGTAACTACAGGGAGGGGAGAAGACCCTCCCAGTGCGGTAAGGGTCATCGTGTCAGAGCCGGTGCGGAGACCAGACGTGCAGGTGCTCACCCCGCAGAAAGAGCCCCGCCTCCCACACCACTCAAGCCACCTGCTTGCTCTGCACGGAGAGGAAAACGCGTGCTAGTGAGACGAGCCCAGGGGCAGGAGGCTGCTACACTGCCATTTCTGCTCCACCTAACACTTAGGCCTGGGCCTTTCCCTGTGGTTTCCTCAGTCTCCTGATTTGAACGCAAGTATCGTTCACTGTGGCAGGGGCTCCTCTCCGGTGTTTGTAACTCACGTTGAGGCCCCTTGCTGCCCCGGCTTTTTATCTCTCATCTCTAGCTTCCACACTCCTCCATTCCAATTCTGGGGCCCTCCGGTCTACAAAGATCAATATACCAGCAACAATAAATGGGAGAAAGGTGCTTCAGCGACTCACAGGACTGTTTACACTTTGGGAGAAGAAATTTATGGACAAATGAAGGAATCCGTTGAGGGTGAAAAATAATTGCACTTCCTAGGTTTAATTTCATTTTCAGTCATCTCACAGCCTGAAAGCCCCACTATTTTAAACCCAACTATCAACATACTCTATGGCTAAGCTAGACAGAAAACATAAAATCACCCTTCATTGCCTCAGGTCATGATATTTTACCTCAAGTGAGCTTCCAGTAAGTACCACCTCATCTCCTCACTACATTTACTTTCCCATTGTTCAGCTTAAATGACTTAGTTCTTACGCTCTCCCCAAGAATCCAAACCTTCCGGACCTTCCTTACGACAGAAAGGAACAGGCAGAGTCCCTCCTACGCTGGCCCCATCTGTAGCTACACCCACACTCCGCCTTGCTTTTGAGGATGTGAGTGGGGTCACACGAATGTACCCTCTGTGCCTTATCACTGACGGCTGACCCCTCTGTGTCTACTGAACCCTACTCCATCCCATTTGACTGCTTGAGAACATCTTTCCAAAAATATATTCAGCATTAATTTTGTGTCTGTTAGACTGCT